TGTGGAATTCTGGGAGCTTAAGTCCTCCAGGCTTAAAGTAAAGATGGATGGGGAATTCTGGGAGTTGAAGTCTGTCAGGCTTAAAGTTGCCAAGGTTGGAGACCTCTGTTTTAAACCTAACAGAGCAGTAGAGAAGTTGAATGGATCTGCCTTTTGTCTCCACCCTCAGCTGACTTTGCTCTCTGAGACTTATCAGGGGTTCTGCAAAGCCACTCACCCATCCCCCGTGCCCCGTTTACTTTTGACTCTGCGGGGTTATGCTCACACATGGCGCAACGCTTTCCCCATGTTGTGCAAACGGAGACAATGGAAACGATTGAGAAAACCTTGGCTCCTGTTAACTACAGGTCAGTGTTGTGCAAATACAGCCAGTAACTCTTCAGTTTGGCGTCCCTGGAGACATAAAAATGTCCTTTGGTCATTCATCCAGAAAAACAAGAGAGTTTTTTTGCACATGACGAGTCTGATTGGGCACAAATCCTGCTCTGATTGTCTGTGGCTCTGATAGTTTGTTGCTGGCTGAACTTCTTGCCTGAATCTAGATATTGTCATTACCCTGGTAAAGTATATGTGCCTGCTGTGCTAGGGATGGGCTCCACAATCCTTCCTTAAACAACTCACAGCTCCGTGTGATGCACAAATCAGATTTAGAACCACACATGATCCGGGCAGCATCCTTGCTTATTGGTGGTGGTGGGGTGTCTTAAAGTGGAAGTCGTCCAGCTGTCTTTCAAATTCCCACCCCCTTCTTCCCAGGAGAATGAATAACCCAATTCCCCCTGGACACCAGGGTGAAAATTTGAGGCTACTTGATAAAACATTCCAGAGGCAAAAAAAAGAGAGAGACTTTATTCTATTAGGAAAAGCTGGAGGGAGTGACTTAAGTTTAGTGAGTTGATTGGAGTTAAGATTTTTATCCATCTGATTTATGTCATTCAATGAAAGTTTTAATGTAAGTTTTGTGTTTAAATGTGGGTTTGAAAATGTGTTCTTTTCCTTCACATATAATGCTTGAGTAATTCCTAAAGCTTGTAAAATATTGAAATGAATGTGAAAGTATTAATGTGAAGAGGAAGTTTTTAAAAAATTAAGACTTCAAGAATATTTATATTCCTAACATAGGTACTTTCAAATTCACTTTCAATAATATTTTACAAGCTTTAGGGTAGGTAGGTAGGTAGGTAGGTAGGTAGGTAGGTAGGTAGATAGATAGATAGATAGATAGATAGACAGACAGACAGACAGACAGACAAATAATGGATGGAGAGATAGATAGATAGATAGATAGATAGATAGATAGATAGATAGATAGATAGATTATAGATAGGTAGGTAGGTAGGTGATAGATAGATGATATGTAGATAGATGATAGATAGATAGATAGATAGATAGATAGATAGATAGATAGATAGATAGATAGAT